CATGGGTCCCAGTTGGCATGGGTCCAAGTTGGTTTTGGTCCGAGTTGACTCGAAACCAAAAGTACTAGTGTGTCATGGACTCTCACTCCCGATCCATCCTTAGCCACATGAGTGAAATCATTCAATAAATGGTTTTTAGAAAGCGGAAAAGTCAAGGATCATGTCCGTGTGCAAAAGAAATTACGCCCACGATAAGTGGGTGTGCCGAAAATGTTCAGTACGCCGACACGAAATTGTGTATACGGATGTGTGGCTAAGGATGGAGCGGGAATGAGAGTCGGTGCCACACTAGCGGGGCTACCCTTAGCCCCACAAATAGGGCTGTAGTGGCTCTCTTTTACAATCTGTCTCTTATCTGTCGCCACCACCGCCCGACTTCAAGGCATGTCTTAAATGCCTGAAATCCAAACTGCAGGATTGTCACAAACTTTGAATCCTAATATCTTCCGAAATGAGAATGACTCGACAATTTTATTGACACCGGAATATTTCTTAGAGTTCGGACTTTCATACGAGCACCCTAAAGCTTTCCCAAATCGTAAATTTTCCTATGTATGATGCCTTGAAAAACCCGGCCTGTAGTATTACATGCTGACCACTGGTGGCACCATTTTGAAAAATGAAGGCAGCACTTCGTTTGTCGGAGGCTGTATATTTGACCAATCGCAATGGACCTTCTATCTTTTCCTGGTGTTTTCCTGACTCCATCAAAATGAAAGCTGTGCTACCATTTGTTATTGGAATAGAAGCAAATTGGGCCAATCACAGTGTGGCTTTCATTTGTAGGTGACTGGAATAAGGAATAAGGAAAAGATAGGAGCTGTGTTGCGATTGGTTAAGCTGTCATGCAGCAGACATTGAGAGTGCATGCTGCTCATGCGTACAACCTTTCATTTTTCCACACTCTCTTGAGTCTAGCCCAGCTCACTTTAAGTTTTAACATCTCCCTGTAAATTAAATTAATCATTTTTCATCGTTAGAAATTTGTACCTTATATGTATGTAGTTCTGGAAGTAAACACAGACATGACAGATGCTACGACAGTGGTCGTGTTCGCAGTCACACCGCTATTGAGCTAGACATGCTCCCATGTCAAAATGCACAGTCGTCCTACTGTGCGCAGATGTTTTTAATTAGTGTATGCCCAGCACCTACTTGTGTCTTTAGCACAATTTGAATAATAAGATGCACAACAGAGTTCCAAATAGACCTCTCTCTTAACCTACTCCCATAAATAGGGCCTCGGCCACTGCGGCCAGGCAACTCCAAGTCACTACTCTGTTTGACTTAGAGGAGTTATTTTCATGGGGTCATAATGCCATGTGCTTCTTGGACGAGCTTTTGCAATAGTGATCGCCGATTGGGTAATGCGTACTCTACTTTTAAATTTAATTTTCCCTTGAGAGCAACTGCGAGGTACCTGTAGCTCTTGAAAATGGTCACATGGTACTTTCAGACCGTGAGACCTTGCGTTTTTTTTTTACTCACCAATCTCATTTTCACCTGACAACAATTGCTCCGTTTGTGTTTATTGCATTGTGTATGTATCAGGCATTTCAGTTCGACAGTCCTGTGCACAAACCTTATAAAGCTGGTTTGAAAAGTTCCAAGTGTTGTACGTGAATACCTCAATATTTTCCCTGCTAAATTTGACTCTTACGACATTTATTGCTTTGAGAAATACATGTATTAGTGGTATTAGTGCAGCCAGTGTATCTCATGAAAATTTGATGTCCGAAATGGTGACGCATGTGGCAATCTGTAGGACAAGACATCATTTGAGAGAGACTTGTAGGGCTTAAAATGCACTCCATGATAATGCCATGGATCATAAGGAGTAAACACAATAGACTAAGGCCGTGTTTGTTTCACACGGATTTGGATCACTATCAGTGATCCGTCAGTGGTATACAGACACTAAAACTCACCTAATGGATGGTGCAAACCAGCGCAAGGATCACTGATTGAGATCCAGATCCATTTGAAACAAACAGGCCTTTTGCTAAAAGCACAAAACATTAAAACCCATCTGAATCATTTAAAGTGGAAGTTTGAACATATCAGTAAATATGGCTCTTAAAATTTTCTGTCTTTTAAAAATATTGATATGTGAATTAACTTGTTATACCGGCTCCTGTAGTATTAAATGCCAGTCTAGACCAAGCAAATGGTTTTTAAATAGAAATTTTTAATCAGCCTGTCAAAGACACTGTAGTAAACCAACCTGGGCATGGTGCCAACTTTATTTCAGTGTGCGCATTTGCTGTCAAAGTTTTTCAACCCCTACTTTCTCTCAGGTTAGTTTTCTGCAGTGAGTTAGCACTCCAGTAATTTAACTAAATATTCCCAAATCATCTAGGACACAGACCGACTCCAACAGACAGAGTGACTGAGCATTATCCAACTT